AAAAAAAAAGAAAAGAAACAAGATGAACGACTAAAAATATATAGAAAAAACGAGCCGGGCGTGGTGGCGCGTGCCTGTGGTCCCAGCTACTCGGGAGGGAGGCCGAGGCGGGAGGCTCGCTGGAGGCCAGGAGTCGGAGGCTGCTGTGAGCGAGGCTGACGCCAGGACACTGTAGCCCGGGCGACAGAGCGACACCCTGTCTCAAAAAGTAAAGTAAAATAGGAAAAGCGCCGCCCTTTTCCGCCTATTCGCTCCCCGTGTTAACAGTAGATGCGGAAATAGCGCCCGGTGACTTTGAGCGCCGGCGACAGCGGGTCCCGCGGGCGGTTGTTTGCAATGAATGATGCGATCCAGTGGCTGTGGGCGGGGCATGTCGCGGCACCCCGAAAGGCCGCTCTTGGGGACCCCCCCAAGGGAAGACAAGGGGGCGCCCCTAAGAACCCCCAGAACGAGGGACGCCCCCCTGGGAACCAACAAAAGCGACAAGGGGCGCCCCTAGTGACTCCCAAGACAGATAAGGGGCGCCCCCGGGGGCCCCCATAACTAGCAGTGCCCCTGGGGACCCCAAAGACAGACAAGGGGCGCCCCTGGGGACCCCCAAAGATGGACCATGGGCGCCCCCAGGGACTCCCAAGACGAGGGTCACCTCTGGGGACCCCAAGACAGACAAGAGGCGCCCCCAGGAACCCCCAAAATATGGGGTGTCCACGGGAACCCCCAAAACAAAGGGTGCCCCCAGGAACCCCCAAAACAAGGGGCGCCCCTGGGGACCCCAAAAATAGACAAGGGGCATCCCTGGGAACCCCCAAGATAGTCAAGGGGCACGCCCGGGGACCCCCAAGATGAGGGTCACCTCTGCGGACCCCAAGACACAAGGGGCGCCCCTAGGAACCCCAAAGTCAGACAAGGGGTGCCCCCGGGAACACCCACAACGAGGGATGCCCCTGGGGACCCCAAAGACAGACAAGGGGCGCCCCGGGGATTACCAAAGATGGACCAGGGGCATCCCCAGGGACTCCCAAGACGAGGGTCACCTCTGGGGACCCCAAGACAGAAAAGGGGCATCCCCGGGAACCCCCAAGATATGGGGCGTCCCCAGGAACCCCCAAAACAGACAAGGGGCGCCCCGGGACTCCCATAACGAGAGGTGCCCCTTGGGATCCACAAAGACAAACAAGGGGCGCCCCTGGGGACCCCCAAGACAGACAAGGGGCGCCCCCGGGGACCCCCAAGACAGACAAGTGGTGCCCCGAGGATCCCCAAAGACAGACAAGGGGCGCCCCTGGGGACCCCCAAGACGGACAAGGGGAACCCCCAAGATGGACAAGGGGAACCCCCAAGACAGATGAGGGGCCCCCCTGGGAACCCCGAAGATGGACAAGGGGAACCCCCAAGACAGACGAGGGGCCCCCCTGGGAACCCCGAAGATGGACAAGGGGAACCCCCAAGACAGACGAGGGGCCCCCCT